GGTGGTCACCGATCTGCTGGGCACTTGCTCCGTCAGCCCCTTCGTCCTGGCTTCCTATCACCGCAACCGTACGCTGACCGCCCTGGCCCAAGGAGGACACATCTGCCTCTACTTCGGCTTCGCCATGAGCTTCTTCGGCCTCGCCACCATGCTCATCCTCTTCGCCATGGCGTTGGAGCGGTGCCTGGCCCTGGGGCAGCCTTACTTCTATGAGCGCTTTCTCAGCGCCCGCACGGGTTTGGTTGCCCTGCCGGCCATCTACACCTTCTCCGCGGCCTTCTGCTCCTTACCACTGGTGGGCTTCGGGCGGTACGTGCAGTATTGCCCTGGCACCTGGTGCTTCATCCAGATGCACCTGGACTACCTCCGGCACAACGGTGGCAGGGAGGCGTCTGAGTTGGACGTCACCTTCTCGCTTCTCTACGCCACCCTGCTCCTCTTCCTCATCCTCTCCGTGCTGCTCTGCAACCTCAGCGTCATCACCAACCTGGCCCGCATGCACCGCCGTGGGCAGAAGACTTTTTTTGCCAGCCCGGGGCGGCCAGTGGCTGCGGCCGGCACATGTTCTCCATGGCCGAGGAGATTGACCATCTCCTTCTTCTCTCCATCATGACCATCACCTTTGTCATCTGCTCCCTGCCATTCACGGTGAGTGCAACCACCTCTCTCCTGGGGTGGGGTCCCTCTCCCCAGCAACTTTCTCTCTCTCCATCTCTTTATAAGGCTTCCTCCACTCCACTGCCCAAACCTTGAGGGCTCAGGTCAACGCTTGGCTCCTCCTGAAGCTCAGGAGCCCCCAGCTCTACTACAAACTCTAGGCGATTTGAACATCCCATGGGGAATGGAAGGAATCACCCCGTGTTCCCAGCGCTGACAGGAGGATGGGGTGGCAGGAGCAGAGGTGCCCTCCTGTCCCGCAGAGGCTCCAAGGCCAGGGAGGGTCCAGGGTAGGGGTCCACTGGACCGCACAGTGTGTGTTGCGGTTCCCAGGAGCTGGGCAGTCATGGTGGAGGTGTGAGAAGTGGCAGAGCAGGAAATTAGACATCCAAAGATGGGGACGAAGGAGATGCCACTGGGCTGGACACAATGGGTATCTGTGCTAAGTGGGCAGAATTATCCTGTATTTCCATGACGAGGGGGAAGGATGGAGGTAGAGATGTGGGCAGGCAGCCCCCACCTCACCGTTAGACGGAGGTCTCCACTCCTCCACAACAACACCAGGGCGTGGGCACGGAGAGGGGTGATTGCTGGGATGGGAGATCCGACACATGGGGCACAGTGTCCCTTGTCCCAAGGGTTGTGCCCACATCCTGTGCCCCATCCGTGCACGAATTTTCCAGCAGAAATATGAGGTTGAAACACGGCAGACAAGTGAGGAAGGGGAGAGAGCGAGTCCCTTGACTCTGCCCCATGCTCTCCTCACCAAAGGGTCCCTTTTCATCCATCTGAGCCATGTTACACCAGCAGCGTCGAAGACTCCGGAGCACCTTGAGCCCCTTGTGTCCCCTCCCCAAAGGTCATTTTGTTCCCATTAGAAACGAGCCCCACCAAGGTTGGGAATGTGGCCAGCGCTAATTTTGTGCTCGTGGAGTTAAACAGACGCTACTACCTTCCCTTCATGGTCCCTCGCTTTTCCCAAGGGAAAATAAAATAACCACAGGCTGTAGCCGAGCCAGGCTGCCTGGGCTTTAAGACAGAGAAAAGACAAAGCAGTATCGGTCGGATGCTCGCGAGCATCCTGGGAGCCAAACTCAACATCCTGAGAGATACTGCAGCTCCCATCAATGGGCCCACGCGTGATGGGCGGCTTTCCCCGCATCCCGAAAAAGCCCAGGGTTGGGTGCCGTGGTCATTATGAAGCGGGACCCCTCGGTGGGGACACGTGGGCAGGACCTTATGGGTCTACCGGGGACAGACGGGATGGGAAAGTGCTGCTGGTGGGGGATCCCCTGGGCCCTGGGATAGCAGATAGTCTTCTACAGAAGCACAGCCAGCTTTGCTTTTTCCACCGCCCAGCTCCCGTGTGGGATTGTGTCTGGGCTGCGTTTTGGCAGCCTCTCAAACCGAGCTGCTGCCGGTGCCTCCTTGGTGTGACACTTTCTCTTCTGGCTGGGGTTGCCCACAGCAGCCGGCCTCCGAAAAGCAACGCGGGCACACGAACCTGGAGAGCGTCAGGTCGCAGCACCACAAAATCCTTCCCAAAAAAATGTCCTGAGCCTGGGGCAGCTCTGGGAAACGCTGTGTTCTTGGCAGCCCCAAGTGCTGGCTGCACCATGGTCAACTCGTGCCCTGGGATGTACCATCCCTGGGTGGTACCTAGCAGATCCCTGCACCATCCCTGGGTGGTACCCAGCAGATCCCTGCACCATCACCGGGTGGTACCCAGCAGATCCCAGCTGGAGGAGGGATGCTCGTGCCTCCTGCGCCCTGTCCAAGCATCCCCTCTCCCCCGAAAGCGAAGGGGTGACGATTCAACCCGTGCGAGTAAGGAGTGCTGAGTCACCCTTCCAGGAAGCCCCGTAAGCCGCTATGAGTCAGCATGTTGCAGGAAGGACCAGAGCGGTCCAGCATCCTGCATGCTCTCCATCTTACCATTTATTTGTCCCGTGTGCTTTTGAAGGTGAGACCCAACCGCTGCTTTGAGTAGCCACTGGTTTCATCGCATTGAGGCTGAATGAAGCCTGGCTGCATGCTGAGAGCAGAGCACACACCTGCCATTCGTTAGCAAGAAATTAATTTAAACCCATGGAGGCAGAAATTATGCTGTGACAGCCCAAATCTCCCCAAGAAGCTGCCTGGAAGCCTGAACCCGGCATTATTCCTCCCCGTTGTGTTTTACAGATCCGCGCCTACGTGAACAAGTTCAGCGAGGCAGAGGACAACCACGACTGGGACCTCCTCGCCCTGAGGTTTCTCTCGATTAATTCCATCGTTGACCCTTGGGTCTTCGCCATCCTGAGGCCTCCGGTGCTGCGGTTCCTGCGCTCCGTGCTCTGCTGCCAGGTTTCCCTCACACGCCAGGACAGACGGACTCCGATCCCTGCAAAGACAAAGCTGCCAGCTCGGCCGGACCCCTGTGGGCAGTAGATCCGTTGGCCACGCCGGGAGATGGCTGCCAGGTGAAGCTCAGCCCTGGCAGACCTTAACGATGCTTGTATGGCCCGTGAAGAGACGTATCTGCTGCAGGGTGGGCCAGGTCCAGGTGGCCCAGCTGGGTGTCACCGCGTGCCTGGGAAGCCCCCCAAAGCCTGCGGTCTCTCGCAGGGCAGAAAACGTGGTGGGACAGGATCCGAGGGGCTGCTGAGTACCTGGGTATCGCCATCACCCTTAAACGGGGCTGCTCCCCCCCGGCGAAGGGCGCAGGCTGCGTTCAGCCGCGTTGTGGGAGGGTCGGGGTGGGGGGGGG